TAACCGCCTCCCGGTTAGCTCAATTGGTTAGAGCGCCGGATTGTGTTGTGCGGGAGGTCGAGGGTTCGAGCCCCGGCCGGACCAATACTCATGGTCTTAAAATAAGTGAGGAGAATTTGCTACCTTTCTATAATCAAGAAATGGATAGATATTCTAGTCTTCTCGGATAAGGACGAATAAACCGTAGGCCCCGTCTCCTGCAGGGTTAGGGGTAGGAGACGTTAATTTCCCACGCACGAGATTACTGTGTGGTGGATGTCCTCCCCTGGGTGGGATGGGTGGGTGTTAGCCCTGAAAAGCCCCTATGGGAAGTGGTCAATTAGCATATGTATGTATGTATGTATGTATGTATCACCCTTTGGAGTCATAGTTCAGATTACCACACGTTCTATCGACTCACCTCGTCCAAAGATCTATGAGTGCTAATTGCCAGAAACTGTTCTGAATTCTTGGTAGAGTCTAGTACACACAATAAAAAAAATACAACAAGTTAAGTAAAGACACGCCAATGGTTTTATAGTTAAGTTTCTGTACCTTATCAGAAAAACTGAATCAAACTCCAATCAAAATAGGTGTGAAAGTAACAAAGAGTAGATGAGTTACCTGGGACTGGGCACCAATCCATTGCCCAGACTGGGCCACCAACATTAAAGGTCACGTCGCCATGGATAGGACCTGACGACAAGCATCTGTATTAGTTGGCACCAAAGCACAAAGCACAAATTATCCTCGCGAAATATAGCTGGGCAACTTTTGTCGTCTTTCATAATATTTCCGTGTATCATGAACTTAATATTGTAACTTTTGCGATTACACTTGCAAATTGTTCATTCTTTTAGTGCAACTCTTTGATGTTCATCCTGTGAGGAGGAAACTAAATGCGGATTCGATGACAATTTCATATTCAACCAGGAACAAAGTAACGAAATATCTGCTGTTGTTGACCATTCCACGCTCGGTAGGTTGGCTGTAATTAATTTTTTCTTTACCAGGAGAGAGTGATAGAATTCACAGTTTTTCATATTTTCTTCTGCTCGAATGACCTAACTTGTACACCTTTTCACCACAATACACATCACCTTCATAATTAATTGAGAGAGGCTCTATCGAAAATCTTACTATGATCTTTAGATGTACTCCCAAACAATGGTAGTTCTATGCTTTCCTCTAAGCACTGACTGTCCCCTTTTCTTCTTATCTGAAATGGTGGTGATGTCGTCGCTTCAGGTAAATACTGGTCGACTTCACTATTAACAGAGGAAAAATATAGAATGAAATAGACATATCCAAAATGGTGAATAACTTGGATGAGTAGTGTTCATGCATTCCTCTATAGAATAATTTAAAACATCTGTCAAGTGTGTCCCTTAGATGTTTTATCTGCCAAATCCGCTAAACGGTGTAATAGGTTATCAGGACATAGAAAATCCACAAGACTTTTTACAATCCTGAGATCACAGCCAAAAACACATTTTTGGAGAGGGTTTTGGAATCCGAAAAATATCCTATTCAAGGGTAACCTTTTTTTGTTTTCAATGATCCTTGGCAGTTGTTGGGCCTTGCCTGAACTTACGAACCTGCACGCTAACGACACTTCATCCATTTCACTTTGGAAAATTCGAAAATGGAATACCAAACACAAGAAAACCTTGACAATGACTTACCTGATTTCAACTTTACGCCAGTATGAGGTGGAGGGTCTCAAGTTTGGGAACAGGTCCCTGTCTGTGTACTCTTGCTTGCGCCTAAAGTTTAGAAAGTAGTAAAACGCGACCATATCAAGAGACCCTGAGGTACAAAATGAGTTATATCTTAAAAAAGGCATCTTTTCATTTAGAAAAAAAAAAAAAAATGCTATTTCTGAGTTGTAAACAGTCTCTATTTTAAGACACGGGTAGGTGCAAGGCCTAAGGTATGACAATTAATTTAAATAAATCCAACTTTTACCGTCATTGGTAATGCACTTGGTCTCATTTCGAAAGTTGAGGCCGTCATACGGGAAATTCAAATTTTTTCAAAAAGGCCATTTTCGAGTTACCTTTGGCCTTTCTTTCAAAACGAGGCCTGGTGCTCAGCCATTCTTGTGAAAACGAGTTTAATTTGCATGTGAATGAAACCTTTTTATCACATGAAAGGATGAGCACCTAGACTCACTTTATAAAAAGAGGCTGAGGGTAAGAGCTATTGATTGGCAGTAAAGGAATGTGGGAGCCACACAAGTTAGTCATCGATATTAAGTCGGGCATTAAATCTTTTTCGCGCGCCAACATTGCAGATGTTCTGTCATGCGCATACGCTCTTCAATGCTACCGCTACTTAACTATTTTACCAGCTATCTGTTGTTATGTAACTCTCCGAGTCCTTTGCCCCAATGGGTCCAAATCCCACATTCTCGCCAGACGCTCTTGCAGGCTGTTTTCTCTTTTTTCTTGGTTTCGTGAACTTTGTTCTCTTGTCATCCCAAACAAAAATTTCTTCTGCATCCTCCGCGTCGTCATTCAGATCGCTACCACTTTCTTCGATCTCTTCAATCTCTACATCATCGCTGTCATCTTCGCTCTCCCCTGAACTGACGACTTTAAAATCCACATCACTGCTGTCGGACTTTTCCATCCCCTTCGGCTGTTATAATGTACAAATAGTAAATTGCGTGCAAGAGCTGGCTGTTATGGTAGCCTCTTTTACCCTCAGACCCCTTAAGAGTGACCAGCATTTAATTTCTCCTTTATATCATCCCCTAAATGACACCTGAAGGTCATGAGAATAAAAGAAATGACAAACACTTAAAAGAGCTTTCGCGCGAAAACGTGATATCTTCACGCGCGAAATAACACCATTACTATGGTTACATAATAAATCGCGCCTTTCGAAGCGAATGTGAAATGATTTGGTTTGTTATTGGTGTTTACACAACGAATAGAATATTACATGGCCGCTTGGAGATACGAAATTTCTCGTTTCGTGTTGAAAAGGATTTCACTCGTTCGCGAACACTCGAAGAGAAATGTCGTATCTCCAGGCAGCCATGAATACACCTCTGTGTCAGTTCAAGACACCTTTCTCAGTTTGTTTCTTGGTCATATTAATCACGTCAACAGGTCGTTTGTAACATTGGTACCCTGATTGCAGCGCGGTGAATGTTCGGTCCCCATATTGGACGGGTGGAAGGTATGGAGGCAAATTTCCCCACTGCTACCGTTAATCAAATAGTGTAGTAATAAGGTGTTTCAATAACTTTTTCCGTAAACGGCTTCCGATAGTGCAAAGAGGCGGCTGAGCCTGGAAAGGGCCGTAATGAGAAACCCACGCACAAGAGTCTTAGGTTTTCATTGTGAAAACAATAATTGCCCTTTTATCAAATTTCACTTCTAGGAATATTTACCATATATCCAACATGAAGACGCCTGACGTGGTTCTGGATAATCAGTAAGGAAAGATACCTCTTGCCACACGCTAGACACTTGTAAGAGATCGCTTTCTCGCAGTATTGCAAATGTTCTCTGAGGCTGGACACCGACTCAAACGTCTCTGAACATCCCTGAGGAAGGTCGAGAGCAAAGACAACATCTATGTAGAACCAGGGGGTTTGAACAACTTTTTTCACAAGCGGCTGTGCCCTGAAAAGGGGCTGGAAGGCTGGCACAACCAAACTGACATGAAAGCCTCAACTCGCAGGAATACTCCCGTGTAAAACGGCCGAAAGAGTAGCGTAAATTTCATGCCTTTTTTATGTCACGAGCCTTTATTCGAAGGCTAATCTGGCGGCGGTACGATGTCTTATCAGTACGCCGCAGGAAAACTGCCGCCTAACCAGCTTTTCAAGAAACCCCTGTGTTAAACACCCGAAAGGGCTGCACAACTTTCTGTGTCCTTTTTATGTCAGGAGCCTTTACTCGAAAGCTATTCAGACGGCGGTGCGACGTCTTTTAAAAAAGGCCGCAGATATCTTACCCCAAAACAAGACACACTACACTTGACAGCCACGCGATAAAAAATCTTACCACGCCAGGACAAACTATATCTGACTCTGTTTTCAGCATTTCAGTCCACTGGTTCTCTTGCTCCTTTGAAACAACCCTTCCTTTAATTTTGGAAATCAGCTGGCTGAGAGCTCCCTTTTCTGTGTTCTTGGCCAGTTTGATTTCTTCAAGTTCTTGGTCTGTTGTTATTTGTTGCACCTTAGATATAGCCCTTTAACGAGATCAACCCACAGTTACTCACGCACGAACACACACACAAAAATGCTGTAATCTAAAAATACGATGAGGTAATGAAACAATGCATGAAAGCTATCCTCGCAGTAAGAAACCCTATATATGTAGTAGTGCAAATCATACCTGAAAAAAATTCAGGCCCGTACGGGATTAGAACCCATGACTGATTTTGATACAACAGATTGATTTTCATTTATTCAAAATTAATAACGAAACCAATTTAAATTGATGAAGTTTAGATGGCGGGGCCCACATCTACGAGCTGTTAGTCTGATCTACTGCTTTTTGGTAGCATAACTAAAGCTGCAGGACCCAAAGCACTTTCCTTAACTCACGTGTAAGTAATTAAGGCGACTTAAAGTTCAGATTCTTCGCCCTTAAATACATTGGACCGTAAGCAGGTTGTTTGGGCATTGGTAGGTATGACGGCGAAAAAACATGAAAAAAGCTGATAAGCAATGCCCAGGTCACTTGAAAGCTCATGGCACAGCACCAATGTGAGCATACAAGTAGGTTGTAAATTTGTCATAAATTGTTTCACAAAAGTACTTGTTAACCCCATGTCCATAGCATTGGGGGTAACTAGGGAAGGGGGGTGGGGTAGATGCGGTAAAAATAACTCCAGAGGATAGCAGCAATCTCCTCAGGAAGAAAGTCACTATGGCAGCCGCACTACAACCTACTTCCAAGCACCTGTCACACAAAAACTACAAACAGCTATGGGAA